CTGGTGTGAAACTCTCAATGCATTGTGTCTTTTCACCCGTCTAAAGTTTCTTCTTCTTTAAGCAACTATGCTGTATATGCAGGAAGCAGTCCAGAAGAATGATTTGCCATCAGACAATCTGTAGTTTCTCAGTCAATACGTTTTTTGCAAAATATAAGAGATGTTTTTCTACAATTTAATATCTATGTATAGAATTTTCATTTCTTATATATTTAATGAAATAATACTTGGCTGGAATGACAATCTGAGAATCTTAGAAAGCTTTTTGCCGCTCCTTATAAAGCCTATTTTAGTCATATGCCTTTAATCTACTTAATTAGGCTTAAAATGTAATGTTTATGAGGACATTTAGGTCAATTTACATTGAGGGCTCATCTACAGGAGTCATTTCCCTATTCGTGAATGCCTCCTTTAATCTGATGTACTTAAACCACTTACTCTGTGATTCTTATTTGTTATTCACCTACCCTGAGACTAGGGGCGAAACTCAGGCCACCTGCCAAACTGACCACAGAGTGCCCAGTGTGATGCTATAGGCAACCACAGCCACTAGGTAGACCCTGAAGAGCAGCACGTCCAGCACGTAGCCAACCTGGAGCCACTCTTTGGCGATTTCCCGACACCTGTCCCTCTTTTCCAGGAACTGCCGGATCGCCGTCACCTCCTGCAGGATATTGTCCATGACAGGCGGGGTGTTGTCCCTGGAAGGGGGCAGACGAAGTCCTAGCATCCCCACCTCTCTGTCCGGTTGGCTGAGCCTCTGGCCTATTTCACAGGTGTGGTGGAGGGAGCACTGGGCTGCAGAATGGGACAATAGGCTTACTTTGTAAACATCATATCTGTATGTTGGTGAAGATTCTTAATCATCAAGATCATAGTCATTCAAAAAAAGTTAAAAACCAATCTACTGGACTTTGTGTCCAAGTTTGAAGGCGTTTGGATTCCCATCCAGGAAGTTTTTTCAATTTCCAAAGGGGTGGACCCCTTCGTCTGTTTTAATTTGCATGTTTCAAAACAAAAACAAGTTTTTGTTGGGCTACTGTATAAAACCTCAAACTCAACACTGTTCTGGACATTTTGAATTGAAAAAGCTTCCTGGATGGGAATCCAAACGTCTTCAAACTTGGAAACAAAGTCCAGTGGATTGTTTTTTTTTCTTTACTTTTTGGAAGTCATATCTTTGCTTAAATCTAGTGTTGCACTGATACTGATACCAGTATTGGGTGGGGCCCCGATCCAGCACTAAAATGCTATCGGTATCAGCAGCTACCAACAAATAGGGTACCGATACCATTTTGAGAGACAAAAGTTTCTTCAACTATTGTCACCCATTCCAGATAGGCAATAAAAAGTTCTACTGGATTCACTTTGCATTAGTCTTTTTCCTGCTTTACAAAGGTAGGCAGCAGCTTGAAAAAGCCACGATGGCAATTATTTTACATCCAAGTAGTATGCAGTTCTTCATATATACACACACATTCATTTCAAACAGATGGTATCGGTATCGGCCGATACCGCACTAGCCTCATGAGACCATC